AACACCACTATGGTCCTGCTACAAATTATATGAAGCTGTGAAAGCCCTATCGTCTTTGCCGGATTTCCAGAAGAGTAGAAAGTCATTTACTATAGCAGTCCTGAAGCGGGGTGACAGAGAGTTAATTATTTGCGTTTGATACCCAGTACCCATGTTTACTTTCACACAATTACTCATCCATGTATTCCACTTTGCACCGGCATAATTAACAGCTTAATCAGGAAAAGAGCTGATGTGAAATGAGACAGTAACAGACAGCCGTCTGGCTTGTTAACGACGCGTCGCTGAAAACAAACATTTTTCAGTTTACTTGTGTCATAAAAAGCAGACCCGCTGAGAAGCGGGTATTCCCAGTATTAACACTTCTAAGTGGAATCATGTTTCTGGGATAAAACTTCTATAACTCTGAATTTGTGTCAGGAGGCTACAGAAAACGATTTCTCGCTGCTTTTGCATTGTTGCCGTACAGAGCTGTTCAAAAAGCGCTTTTTCTTTAACAATTTGATATGGATGGGTCTAAAATTAAAAGCCTTCCCTGCACCAAAGAACTAAAATCTAAAAGAAACAAGGTCCTGTCCAAATACATGTGGAGCACAATGCATGCCATTTGATAAAGAGTGTTTAGAGCGTTATGTTTGCCAGTGAAGCATCTGAAAATATCCCACAATCTCCACTAATCATTTAGACAAAAAACCTCCAATCTGCACTGTAGCCTACTTTCCCTTTGCTATACTGCCTCCTCCGGGCACAAGAAATCCCCCGATGGCTTTCAAAACTGAACACACAACAAACCCACTTAGTTCCTAAAATCATGTTTTGGATAGTGAGAAATTCAAGGGCTCTGTGAAGAGACGAGCCCACAAAGCAGGCTGGTTTTTTTCCTTCTTGTTAAGGCTATAATGTACAGCCAATACCTGGTTCATACGTACCAGTGTAATCCTCTCCCTTTGCTAAATGCCACAAGGAATAAGCAGTGTTGACCTTGGGAGACGCGGGAGCCGGATTTGAGGGTGTCTTTTTAAAAGCCTGGGTGTGTAATTGAGTAGAGCGGCGGGGTGGCAGGCTTTGATGGTGTTCGCGCAAGCACAAGAGAGCATGAGTGCGTGAGGGGGAAGAAAAAAAAAAGGCAAGCAGAGGCTCAGGGATACACACAGACATACAGAAAAACGTAGGAATATGTGGACTGTTTGCACACCGAGACACACACACAAATTCTCTAGGTTACGTGTAGGTTAACATCAGTGCATTCAGCAAAGCAAACTCATACAGGGAGTCATCACAAGAACATGAGGAGGTAACAGCCAACAGATTTTGGTGTACGGTGAAGGTTTAAAGGAGCTACCAGCACCGTGAGACTCCTCATCACCCACAAAGATCAAAACAGGGCCCAGCTTTCCTCCAAGAAGCCCTCCAGGCCTCAGGTCCAAAACACCATCCTTGATGGAGGTTCAGCTCAATTAGCAAATCTGCTACTCCAGTACATCATTACCCCAATTTTGGCAAAGCTTTTATCAAATAGCACATCACCCTGTGCAAGTAATGCATGTGGAACGTAGACTGATCCAACAGTTGCACAGGTTGTGGGAGTAGTGCTGCGGTTTGTTTCTATTGTTTTAACTTGCTGCTTACCCTTGGTTTGATTCACCGGTTAGATTCAGCCACTAAAAGCTAACTGATTAACTTCGAAACAGGTCGTTGTTTGGGTTAAAACATGTCTTTGTACACTGAAAAATTGCATTTACCAAATGGGTTTGGATGTGAGACCAAGGAGTACTTTAAAGTGTTCATATTTGATGAGATATTTGATGGCTGTCACAAAAGAGAAGTATTTGAGACTCCAGCAGGGAGACCTGGCTAAAGGGACAGGTGCGTGTCACTGCTCTACATTCACTAAGAACATATTGTTGATTTACTCACTGCTCATTAAAAAAAGATGACCAGGTGGTGCTATAACAGAGGCTGTTACACAGCTTAGAACGTGCTACTTGGGAAGCATATGAGTAAGCCATCAGTTATTCTACAGTACCTCAAATGACACTGAAGCTAACGTAGCAAGCTAAGCTACAAAAGCCTTTCAAAGATATCACATTTTAAGCTACGTTTAAAACAAATTACTTTAAATGAACCAAATTGGTGAATAAAAGTATCAGTGAAACAGATCTGCAGTTCATTTAAATTCTGTATTTAACAAGAGGTGCTCTCACAGCTCCAAAACCTTGGCAATTTGGCAACAAAAACAATGAAACTCATGAATTTTTCAAAGCACAGTCATGGCACAGACCAAGTCTCAAGCTCCTGAGTCTGTTTTCCTTTGCTCCCGTGTTAGACCTCATTCCAAGAATTGGTACATGATGTCACTGTCAAATGGAAGCGGTTCTGTCGGCTTTACCTGCATAACCGTATTCGGTGATGGAGTCATGCATGCATCTTGAGTTTTCCATCAGATTTTAGCTGAAAGCTTCCCTGTGCTTGAGCATCGGAAATGCTCTACAGCTCCTGTGGTTTCTGATACACTACGGCACTTTCACCCCATGCTGTTTGATTTAGAAAACAGTGACTTTTTCAGCACAGCACAGAGAAATGCAAACTAGTTATACTGCTACTAAGATTGTAACTCCATCTAAACTCTAAACACACTGTTATGATCAGCATACATATCGACAGCTGTTATTGATAAATAAAATGTCTAAATATTACCAGGAAATATTAAAATCCCACTACCATGTGAGCTAAAATCCTTATTCTGACAACGAAATTATATGAAATCCATTTAATTATAAGTTTCTGACTCAGTGACTTGTATGAAAACTGGGAGAAGCTCAACAACAAGCAATTGCTGTATCTTTCAAACTTAATGTCTGAGTACGCTTGGTTCAGTCACACATTTAAAAATGACTTTGCCTTGAATTTCATTTATAGAAAAGAATTTCAAATTGTAGTCGCGCCTATTTTACAACAGCCTTCAGATCACACCAAAGTTTCAAAGTTCTAATGAAAAGAAAAAACGTGTAAGAATGCAATTGCTATGCCAAATATGCTTTATGCTGTTATTTTTTATCTATCTATCTATCTATCTATCTATCTATCTATCTATCTATCTATCTATCTATCTATCTATCTATCTATCTATTGCTAAGAAAATGGGAAATATGGATCAACCGAAGGCCAAGATGCATCTCTCAGTTCTTGTTTCAGGTCTTTGCTGAATTTTTTAATACCTCTTAAGGACATGACTGTCATATACAGTTGATCTGTTTTAGATCAATTCTTTTGTCCTCCACTTGAGCAGTTCCTTCTGATTTTTTTATTTACATAATGCACACTATGCTGAGATACGCCAAGTATTCAGCTAATAGTTCTTGTTACCAAAATACTGCTTTATATTTGTCAAACTATGATAGATTCTTGGTACATTTTTATAGATGCAACTGAAGAAACTGTTACACATTAAATGCTTTTATTAGAGGCTAAGAGTAACAGAGTGCCTAAAGATCCATCATCTATCCTACAGATACAATTTAAAATGGGTTCTTTGCCAAGTTGTCTTTGATGTATAGACACAAAACTGGCTCACTACTTGAGTGATGTTTCTTTTTTCAGGCTTTGATGATTCATATCTCAGCGTTAAGTGATAGCACATATTATTAAATAAATACATAAACCTTCTAAAAATGGTCAGTATAAGGACTGGACTGAAAATGAGTGGAAATCAGCAAATATCCAAAGAAAAACTTTGAAAGACCCCCAGAAAGCTGAAGGGCTACTGATCAAGACCATTTTAAAAAATTGTGAGAAAGTCAAGGTCCTTGGAAGTAAACTATGCATAGTACTGTATGGTTCCTACCAGCTCCTCTACAGCAGTCATACAAAAGTGATTTCCCAACTCCTGTCCTCGTCACTTTAATTGGAAGAAGGTCAGCAATTAAACTGGAGGAGACGGAGCTGCTTAGAGGAGAAATGGCAGAAAGGACGACCTTAAGTAAAATACGAGGAGAACCCTGGCGACCAAGGCCACATGATTCTCTTGATCATTCACAGGAGGCCTAACTAGCTTGTCCTTTCGAGGGTATGAAAGAACACACCTACCATTCTTTTGGTGACATACCAAAGAAGAGAATTAATTAATCCCAGCCTGTCTTATTCACATCAGTCTAGTACATGAAGAAGAAGATCTGCCTCCGATTTGGAAGAATGATTAACATTATAATCGCCAACAGGACAATATCTAATAACCCGTCTTGATTACATCATCTTCACCATTATGCCAACCGCTAATTTGGTCTATATTTTGTTTAATCCACAAGAGTAAATTTTAATTTGATTTCATTTATCAAAAACATATTTCATAGACTGCAAGTGCGAAAGACCTATCACATCTATGATTTTTACTAAAACGATGTCATGATTGCAAACAGTGTAATTCAATTAACCATATTCAAAGTTATTAGGAAGCCAATTAGGGTTTCCTACATTGACGTGCTGTCAGATATAATCTGACAGTGTAGCTGCTGTTGGAAATAGCAGCCGATCTATCATAGCAGAGGCAAGCTAAATCCATGGCTGAATGTTTGATGAGGTACTTTGCAGCCCTGCAGGAATCTCCTCTGCCTGACTGCTGCTGTGAAAATCCTGACAGGACCTGCAGGTCAGAAAGGTCCAACAACTCTTCTGCCTTCTGGTGCAAAACAAACATGGTGTTTATGCTGTTATGCAGCTCAGTGTTTGTTTTCTCATCATCCCTTCCCTATATCGGAAGCTAAAAACTTTACACAGGCATAACAAAATGGTTAAAAGTGCACACAGTTATTTTACACTGGCTGATGGCTCCACTGTTCTTGCACGGCGTGTGCTCTCGTGAGCAGTGGGCAGTATGTACAGTTAGCGTGCATGTATGTGGGATGTGATGCACTCTCTGCAGCAGTAATTTTCCCCAGACTGCTGCCTCTCTATTCCTGTTCTATATTTTATTTGGTAGCGGTATAAGCTGCTGAGTTACTCACTCTGTGTGAAGCGTGGTGGGTTGTCATTAACATCGGTAAGCCTGACGGTTACAGTGGTGGTCCCAGATAATCCTCCTAGGTGCCCCCCCATGTCTTTAGCCTGAAGCACCACCAGGTACTGGTCCTGGGTCTCCCTGTCCATATCGGGTACAGCTGTTCGTAGAATACCTGGAGAAAACACACACATAGGGTAGCATCACAAGGACCATGAACCTTGGTTTCTACTACTTGGCAACAAATGATCACAATACTGAGACTGAAACTCTTTTGTGATCAATATTTATAACTTTATGATTAACTGAACTTTCTGGCTTTAAAAATATACTTTCTGGCCTGCGCTCTGTTTTGGAAGAAAATCTCTGTGCACAGCAGGACCTCATCCTGCTCTCTTCACATCTATAACTTCCTTACAATCTTCTTACTCTCAGATAAAATATTGCAGTCACACCTTTGGTATGTGGATCTATCTGTTACACATTTGAAGGTACCACTTTCTAATTAGGCACAGCTTTCCGAGTTTACAGTTAATTTGACTGTTTGCAGTAAAATCCACATGCTGTGATCAGTCTGTAAGAATTGCGTTAATGTAATAAGTCTTTATTGACGACTGAGTCAGAACCGCCAATAGATCTGACAAGAACTAAATGTCCTATGAAGTGGTAAATTAATAAACAGACACCGTAACCTTTTATTAATGACTTATTAACATTTATAACAACAGATCTGACTTCCCGTTATGAACTGAGAAAGTCATGACCCTTTATTAAAGACTTCATCAGCACCGCAGTTACACATGTGAGGAAGTCATTAATGAAAGGTCATTCTTGATTTCCAGTATGCCATTTAGCCTTCAGGTATAAATGTTAACAAGTTGTTATATAACACAGTTTGGTCCTGATGGTCTGCAACCCTTATTTATAAACCTAAGTACTGGTTATTCCATTAGAGTCACATAAAAACTAATTAGCAGTGTTGCCAGTTTTGAAAAGTACACATTCCCGCAAACTTAAACAATGTACATGCAAAATGAAACAAATGTATCACAAAAAGGTCACAAGCCAGCAGAAAAATACCACTCAGTTGATTTTATTGCAAAAGAATGTCCACTTGTTAACAGGTCATACATAACACCCAAAAATAAAACAACCCACTTTTTATGTGAAAGGGCAAGAATGTCAGCTCTGGCTTTCTATAAAATGCTTGGTCACAGTGATGTATTCCTCAGGCTCAGATTTGTGAGATTTATCCATGATGACGTCGCCCTGTGAGCACGACACAACCACAGTCCTGTTGCACGAGCACTGAAAAAAATGTCAAGTGTGTGCCGCCTGAGGAATGCACTGCCTGTATATTCCTTCACAGCAGTCAAGATGAAATAAAATGGGTTGGGAATTGTCAAATGTTGCTCACTTGTAGCAGAGAATGACAAAATCAACACTCACTTTCTTCCTTTACAGCCGCTAATCATTTGTAGTTTTATGTAGTTAGCTATTAAAAAAAATAGTACTACAGTAAATGGACCGCTTGAATCCCCCATGCAAATATTAATGCAGGCAAACTACCATCAGGCCTCTGCAAAATATAGGTAACGTGCTAGATTAATTACTAATTTCTGAATTATTCATGCACCCTCTGTAAATCAGGTGGGCTAACCCGTGCAAGTTTATTTTGTATATTTTGCAGATAAATACAGTCATGTGAAAACAATGTTTGCATAGTCCTGTGAAAAACATCATCAGAGCTTCCATAGAAATTAAGAGGGTAAGTAACAGCTCGGTGCTGCTAATCAAATGAACATTGGTAACTAATCATTGGCACCTCTGTAACTGTTTTGGCAGTTTGCTGGTCTGGAGCATTGAGCTTAATGCAATGCTACAATCTTCCCAGGAGTGTCTGCTGGACAGATGAGATCAAAGCAGAGCCTTTTGGCGAAGACACACAGGACTGCACTTGGAGCAAACCAAGCATTGCATATCAACAGAAACACTTGTTAAGCATGGTGGTGGAGGGTTGATGATTTGGGCTTGTTTTCCAACCACAGGACCTGGGCACCTTTTGGTCATTGAGTTAACCATGAACTACTCTTTATATCAAAGTATTCTGGAGCCAAATGTTGTCCAAAACTGGGTCATGCAATCAGGCAATGATTCCAAGCGAAGCAGTAAATCTAAAACAGAATAGCATTAAGGTGTTGCAATGAGCTGGTCAAAGTTTGGATCTTAACCTGACTGAAATGTTGCAGTGGGACTTTAAGCTGTGCATAAACAAATAATGCTGCAAAGAGGAGTGGGCCAAAATGTCTCCACAATGATCTGTGAGACAGATAAAATCATCCAGCTGCTGCTTAAGGTAGTTTTACAAACTATTGAATCACAAGCCGTATTTAATTTCTCACAGGACTGCACAGAGCCCTATGAAAACATTCTTTTCACTTGACTGTATGTGTAACTATTCTCATAAATGATTAATTTAAAAGTCCTGACATCCACCAATCAAGTTACTTTTACAATGCACTGAAATCAATTGGGTAAGGTTCTGTTATGTGTGTAGAAGGTTTAGACACCAACAAGTGAGCTTTAAAACAAATAAGGTAAAAAAAACAAAACAATAAAAAAGTAGAGGAAAGCACAAAGAACAACCTGGGAACATGAGGAGAAGTGGAGGGCAAACAGATGGACGGACAACTGACCGAGGGAGAGAGAAAACTGTCAAGCGCACAAAAAAGTAAAAGATATCAAAGCAAAACAAACAAACAAAAAAAACTATGAAAGTACGAAAAACTAACACGGAGACAAACAGGAGGGCAGAGACAGAGGAGCATGGCCGACGCGGTGAAAGGAAAACATCAGGAAACACAAGAAATGATATCAAATTCATTCAAACTTTACACAAACAGCATGGCAGCACCTTCAACAAATAAACTTGCTTTAATTTTAGATGGTGGCATCTCTGTTGGTAGGGTGGTTTACTCATCCTTCCCATGACAACAGAACTGTAATTTTACTGGTGTACTTAAACAACAGACCAGTTTATGGCGTATAAAATTCAGCTTACGACACAATAAACTGTAAAGTTACCACTTATAGCAGTTGTTTTATCATTTCCAAAGCAATCCTCAATTTGTTTCTGTGTTAAAAGCCCGTAATTTGAGTTTAATCGAAGTGTTTTTAAAGTTCTGCTTTGCCCTTTCACAGCCTATTGGACGATATCGACGTGCGCCGTCACCGAGCTGCTTTTCCTGACAATGTGGCAGTTTTTCTGACATTTTGGAGACACTCACTTTCCATTTGACAGCTACAATATATAACTTAATGTCCCGTTGAAGGCGCACAGAAACACACGTACATAAACAGATATGTGAAAAGGGGGCTCATCTGGAAAAGACAAATCACCACGCTGCAGCAGATAGACATGCTGACAGAGCATAAAATCACGTTCTGTGTCTCATGCTCTTTAGCGGCACACAAAGACGAATCATTTACTCGCGTTCGACATCGATCACCTCCCCCGTGCAAATGACCTCATTCTGCTACATGTGATTGGATGTTGCACATCAAATTCTGCCCGCTCTCGCCCAGCATCAACCAAAAAACACCGGCCTGGATGACTTGGCAGCTCAAGGTGAATCACATTCAGCCTGGGCTGTTTTGAATGCTAACGAACGAACAGGCAGAAATATGTCGAGCTTTCTGAGCAGAATTCATAAACAAACAAAGTAAATGTATGAGCGAACGCGCTCGCCTCCGAGTGCACATTCTGAAAAAGACCCTCGGTGATGGAACCGACGAGAAATGGGGGGTGATTGAAAAGAGGGAGATAGGGAGTCGAGAAGAGGAGAGCGGACATGTTCGGAATGCTGAAGCTCTTCTGAAAGCACAGTGTCACGGCTAATACACACTGTGTGGAATTAGGCTTATATTTCAAAGAGTCCTGCAGCTCCCTTTGGTTATTTGAGAGGTCCTCACGTGCCGAGGCAATCAATTACCAGGCATTGACATTCAATGAGCAAAACACGAGTGCTGGCCACCTGTGACTGTGTGGGCAAAATAAACGCTCACATGGAGGCTCTCACTTCTACAGGCAGACAGAAAACAAAAATCTGAAAAAGTTAATAGATATGGAGTTTTACTGTGAAACTTAATGTCTCTTCAATGCGCGCTGCCTATCAAAACAGCACCTACAACATCAAGACAGTCAGAGCTCCATTTCTGACTAAACAGAGCTAAAAGTCCCCTCCAAGGTAGACTGCTAAAAAAGTAATCATCATAAAGTTAAATAAATTAATTAATAAATAAAGCGCCCTCCTCCGCCCTCAACCCCTAAACGCTCGACAATAAAACTTTTTGCCCTCAGGTGACGTGTGTGAGACTCCGACACGGTGACAACAGGCACGCCAGACGCCTTCTTGAAGCCCTTTTGTAATCTGCCCTGCATCAGAGATCATAAGCCTTCGCTGACGTGTGTCTTTAAACGTGTCTTTTTCGCTTTTGCTTCACCCAGAAATAATAATATTAGGCTGTTGTTCGGCACACGCAGCCTGGCGGCGTGAATACATTTCTGCCAGCTCATGCTGGAGCGAACCGCAGAGGGGGAAAGAGGTGGAGGTGGGGGGAGGGGGGGTGTGCTTGAAAGAGCAAGTGTGTATGTGTTTGATGGGGCACAAGTGGGAAAAGGGGAAGAGAGAAAGATGGATGACTAAGTGTGACAAGAGAATGGGAGTTGCACTGGGGGGGAAGTGTTGCTTTCAGTGTGTGTGTGTGTGTGTGTGTGAGAAAGTCAGAGACATGTTTCTGTACTCATGCATGCAGGTCCACGGGTTCCCCAGTGTTTCACTCCACCTGTGTCTCACACACACGAACACGTGTGCGTCTCCTTAGGCCGTCACACAGCACAGACATGTCGGGTACTGTGAAGACCGAGCTCAGCTGTTCGCTCCTGAACATCTTGCACGTATGTCGCTTTCCTGCTGCATGCGTGCGTGTTTGCCTTCTGAGATCTGCGCATCTTTTACATTCGTCCGCCCACGTGTGTTACACGCAAACGCACATAATCACGCTCACCTGTCTGGGGATCGACAGAGAAGTACTGCTGGCCCTGCACCAGTGTGTACACGAGCTTGGCGCTGTTCCCATACGTCGGGTCATCAGCATCTGTCGCCGTCACCTGGATTATAGACGTGCCTGCGGGGAGGGCAGACGAGGAAGGAAGGACAAAAGGGAAATAAAGAAAAGGAGGAAAAAAAGAAGAAGAGAAAGGAAATAAGCAACAAAACAAGCCAGAGCTGGAGCTAAGTAGACAGACTACAGCGGTACTTTAAGAGCATAAGAAAGCATTATATCAAGACAACCTCCACTCTTCTCTCCCACTCCTTCTTTTTCAATCTCTCTCCGTCAGCAGCGTGACAAATAGTTTATCCTTCCCCCCCACCCACACACACACACACACACTCTCTCCTTCATCTCTCTTGTCGCTCACATTCCTCCCCCCCCAATTCCCTCTGTCTCACTTCATTTCTCTTCATCTCTGTCTCCAATTCCCGTTTGCTTCCTCTCTCAATCGGACTGTCTGTCCCTTCAACAGGCCTCTCTCCCTCTCTCACCCTCTCCTAAATCTTCTTTCTACGGCTGTTGCTGAGTCAATTTGCCAGGAAATTTTTTGTGGGGTATATTTTCAACAAAAAATGAAACTATATGAATATATGAAGCGTAAACACTTTTCATATATCATGTATTTGTATGGTGCATGTCTGTATTTATACAGAAGTGTATGGGGAATGACTTCTTCCAACGGTACTCAGAGGCAGATGAGATGGAGGAGGAAGACGTGGATTTGAGGGAGCAGCTTCTATTCTATATTTGATCAAAGCCTTGAGAGAATCCATATGGAAGAAAAAAAAACAAAAGCCAACCACCACCACCACCACCACCACCAACAGCAACAACAACAAACGTGCAGTTTAAAGTACGCGTGTGCTTGCGTAGGGAGAGCAGAAAGGGGGCATGAGATCAACCGGTTACTGATCCATTGTGGGTAGTTAAGAATCAGAGCGGTTATTGACAGAAAGCAGATGTAAAGCATGTAAGCGCTGCACCTCAGAGAGCCAAAGACTGATGGGAGAGAGGTTTTGTTTGTTTCAAAGAAGACTTGGTGTGGATTCAGTTCGTCATGCAGTCGCACATGTAAAAACAAAAGATCATTTCAGTTTGTTACAACTAGGATCTCATTTTATAGCTCTTTTCATCTATAGTAGAAAGCAACGAAGTACATGTACATTTGACATATTTTACTGATGCTTATGCTTTGTCATATTAGCAAAGCTCAAGCTTGGCTGGATGTGTCTTACTTTCTACTTGACTGAACTGGTTTCACAGCAAGAAAATAACATAACATGAGCTTTGAACATACTGCCACAGCATCTCGTGTTTATGGACTTTATAGTTTTGCTTTATTTTGAGTATTTTCTGGTGATTGTATTACTTACTTTCCTGGTTATGGTTCTGTTCATATTGCTGGTTTGTTCCATTTTCAGTTCCTGTTTCTTTAGAGTTTATTTTTCATCCTCTTGTGTCAGTAAATTCGTGTTTGTTTTTCAATTCAGTTATCATGTTTCACTTCCTTCTTTATTTTGATAGTTATTTGTTCTTTGTGCCTTCTTTGAGGTTTCCCCTTGTCTCATTTTCCCTGACTTTACGCACCTGTGTGTCCAACCTGGTGTTTAAGTCTGACATCATTAGCCATTTCTGGGTCCAAACTCGGCTTTAAAGTTAAACAAACACTGCGGCATCACCGAGAGTTAAAAACTGTCTAAATCCTTTCATCTTTAATAAAATGATCAGCGTTGCTGCTTTACCAGGTGTAACAATTAAGTTTAACATCCAGGCATCCATGAAAAGAGAATTTATGAAATTTAACAGAGTTAGAAGTTAGCAGGAAGTTAACTTGCTAGCTTCCATCTAAAGATGACACACCATGTTCTGACTGAGAGATTTCTGAAAATTTTAAACGTACAGCTCTGCTATCACTTCCAAAATAAATGAAGACAGAAAACTAAACAGCAGCGATGTTTGTAGTGCTACTGAAGTTGGGCTAGCTGGTATATAACGATGTGCTACGTGGTGGCGGGCTACAGAGCTATGGTTAGCATAATATAAACACAGTGAACAATTGAGATAATCCATCCACAATATGAAGTTAGTCATTAATATACTGCTGCATGGGCTGGGCTGTAGTTACATTGTAAGGTTTTAAAAACAGAGCTTTAAATTGAACTTTGTGATAATAAAAACCAAGAGAGCCTAACAGTGATCATTGCCTTTTTTTTCATGGGATGTGTTCAGATTAAATAGAACAAGATACCGAGCATTATAATATGTTAAAATCACAGTAGCCTTAATAAATGCACAGTAGTTTGGACCCGGAAGCAGGGTTCATACGTTATCACTTAAAGACCAGATTCCCATTATTTTCTTTCTTTAGGATTATTTCTACAGACTAGCATTAAAGGTTTGTTTGAGTTGTGCCCCCCACCCGCCAGAATTTGAGAACCACTGGGCTCAAGTGGAAGCTTCTGGAGGTAAATAAACAAACACGCTTTCAAAGGGCTTCAGACAAAGTTTCGAGTGCATTGATTCAAAAGATTCAAGACCGTTGTTGCCCTCCACAGAAGAGATCACAGCAAGAGCAAGGTATAGTGTGGGAGGTCAGTGATTATGCAAAGGTAGCCTGTAACCAGCTAAAGGTCTTTCTCACATTGGCTAATGTTCATATTCATGAGTTCAAGAGAGCACTGAAATCTGAATCTGTGCATAGCTTGGCTGCAGTGAGAAAGATTCTGCTCTCAAAAAGAGAAGCTGCTGCCTGTCTGTTGTTTTCCAAAGATCACGAGAACAAACCTGAAGGCTTTTGGAATAATGCAACAAATTTTGGTTTAAATAAGACACTTCATGTTTGGAGAAAGAAAGACACAATAATCCAGCATAAGAACCTTATCCCACCTGCAGTTACTGTCATCTGTATCAGTATGATGGTTTAGGTCTGTTTTTCTCCATTTGTGCCAGGTTAGCTTACCTTCAATAGGGGAAGCAATGAATTCTGAATTCCACCAGCGATTTCTTAAAGAAAATGTCAGGACATTTCCCTGCAAACTGAATTTCAAGAGAAAGTGAGTCATGCAGTAAGACAATGACCCACAGCCAAAGATTAGTGAAAAAAGAATAAAGCCAATGGTTTGGAACGACCAAGTCAAAGTCCTGACCTTAAGCCTATAGAAATGTTTTGGAATGAGCTGAAGGAAGCAGGAAACCCGCCAACATCAAACGCTGAAGCTGTTGTTAGAGGAGACGAAATCTCCTCTAAGTACTGATCGATAGTTACCAGAAACATTTAGTGGCGACTACAATTTCTACACAAGGGGTTCACACAAAGATGCTTTTACTTATCACAAATATGTCTTATTGTATCATTTTTAGCAAAAAACTAAAAGACAACTGGTTCGTCTCAATGCATTTTGAAATTTTAAAGGGGTTTGAAGTGAAGCCACACATTACAACCACAATAATAACATAAACTGCTCAGAAAATGAAACAAACAAAGGGAACAGCTTTTATCAGCATCAAGTCATTTAAACTTGTGGGATATTGATCTGGTCAGTTAAGTATCAGAGGGGGGTTGTTGACAAGTTTCATCTGCTTTCGTGTTAATGACATTAACAACAAGTGCACTAGAGGGGCAACAATGAGACAAGCCCCAAAACAGGAATGTTTGTACAGGTAGAAGACACTGACATTTTCCCTCCTGATATTTTTGGGCTGTTTTTCACTAGTTTTGCATTTGGCTAGAGTCAGTGTCACTACTGGTAGCATGAGGTGATACCTGGACCCTACAGAGGTTGCACAGGTAGTCCGACTTCTCCAGGATAGCACATGAATACGTGCCATAGCCAACAGGTTTGCTATGTCTCCCGCACAGTCTCAAAAACATGGAGGAGATTACAGGACCGGTATCTGCTCCTTTGTGCAGGGAGGAACAGGATGAGCGCTGCCTGAGCTACAAAATGACCTCCAGCAGGACACTGGTGTGAATGTCTCTGATCAAACAATCAGGAACAGACTTCATGAGGGTGGCCTGAGGGCCCGACATCCTGACTGCTTCTAACATATCGTTTTTGTACTCTCTAGCTTGCCACATCATTATTTTCACTTTGATTTTCTGTGTTTCTGTGAATTCAGCCCTCTGTATGTTGATTTCATTTCCAGTCATCAGTATCCAGCACGACTGTCTTTTCTCATTGAAATCTGATGTGTTTCCAAAGTGTTCCTTTGATTTTTTTTTGACCAGTGCACAAAAATACCAAAAACATCATTTACAGGAACACATTTTATGCTGAATGAGTAGTTTTCTCTGACAAATAGATGTCATTAGATTTTATTTGCAAGCAAACAATCAATAATGTCACTCACAAACCTTCACCGAGTTAGTCGAATGGATTAACGTTTGGTAGAAGCTGCTGGCGATGTTTACAAGAGACGCTTCCGCTAAATACATTTGACAGGTCTGATGTGTTTGTCTAATCAGCTGGACCACTTTTTCCTCTTTCTCCATCTCATCTGGACAGTTATCTTGACAAGTATAATTTTACAGTAAACAGAAATGACTGTGAAGCCGGCAAAAATAACAACCGAGATTAAAGAAACTGGAGTTATACCCGAGAGTTGGCGCGCATTCTAGCAAATGCTTGATTTTTGAGTGTGTTATTTATGTGCTCTACTGTCTTACAATGCAATGCCCAAAGGAAATGAAGTGGCTGCTCAGAGCGGCAAAACATTAAACAAACTGCGCGGAAGTCTGATCTTGGAAATAAGAAAAAAAAAATGAATTAAATGAAAACCCAACTGTATTTATTTATTTATCCATCTCAGAGTACGGCTCACCCTGCTGTGGCATTTCAAACTCTGTGGGTTGTGATTGACGCCTGCTGGCGGGTGCAGTGCAACTACATGGTAAATATATTTATATATATCTGTATACAAATCTATGGTTTACCTACATCTGCTTTTAGTTTTAGTAAAAAGTGTGTGTATTTTATTTGAGGGACTGAGACACAGTAAAAGAGCAGAACAGGAGAGGAATATTTTTCTGGACCCATGTTTTCAGATGTTTGGCCATTAATTTAATCCATTCT